TAGTCTTCAAAATGAAATTACACGCGTAATTCATTCAATTACCGTCGACGAACTGCAGAGAGTGTCGCGTAATTTATTTGTGAGATGCGCGGCATGTTTGCAAGCAGAAGGAGGTCACTTTCAGCACCTGTTATAAACCACGGTAAGTTATCTTTTTACTGTATTCTTATAAATGTGTGCATGTAGAGCAACTGATGGACGGAGACTCAGCGACACCACTACACTCACGCTATCGGGGAACGGCACTGCAGTCGCGGGGAGGAGTTGCATCCGTTCTGCGGTGGTATGACTCACGGCAAATTGCAGCCGCGGCGCGCACTTGATTGTACGCACTGTATATAGTGTTTGTATTTCTCCTTTTCTGTCCCTACTATTCTGTGGAGTGTGAAGACGTTTTGATCAGCCATATGTTCAGAGTTTGCAATTCACTTGTACTGGCAAGTTTCAGTGTTGTGTTCCTGTTCATGTTAAAGCCATTTCCTGACTCACCATTGTACCCCCTTACCCTTGCCCATGACAGCTGGCCCGCTTATTCAGCACTAGTTCTGCCTGTGGTCATCATTTCCATTTTAGACCTATGTGGCCAGTAACAAAAAGACCAGTTTTGCAGATTATATTATTGCTCATGTGACTTCTGTCTGATTTTGTTCTTTCTGCTTGGGGTATCCAGTTCTTGTGAAGGATTGTGAATTCCATTATTGGTGAAATTTGAAACTCTTTTGTTGTATTTGAATTCCATTATAGTTAAGAAATGTGTAGAGTGCTCCACATCTTATGCAACATCTGATATTAATCTTGATGTCATTAAAAAATGTAATTCTCTTGTTTCTGAGAATAATAAGGGTTTAAATATTTTTTTATGATCTCCGGACAACTGGGAACACCTAGGCATAGATGCTAGGACAATGTTAAAATGAATAACAAAGAAACAAAGTGAGGAATGTGAACTGGATTCATTTGGTTTAGGATAGGAACCAGTGAGAGGTCCTGTGAACATGACGTTGAGCGTAATTCACAAAATATTTATCATCACTATCTGCATTCAGTATAGTGACTGGTTACGGGTTGGAGTTCCAGTCCTGGTAGGAGCAAGATTTTTCTCCTCTCTACGTTGTCCAGATTGGTTCTGGGGCCCACCTAGCCTCCTATTCAATGGCTATTGGGGACTCTTTCCCTGGGGGTAAAAGGCCCAGGGTGTGAAGCTGACCACTTACCTCCAGCTAGTGCTGAGGTCAGTAATACATGGACCTATATGTCTACTGTTCCATGAGTCTTCATGGTGTGGTGCTTGATTATTTAGGCACAGGGACAACTTTACTTACCATCATCATCATCATCATATGCCCTTACAACCCATTGCAATCCTAGGGTTACTTGGATGTGGTCTCTCTCTTCTCCCTTCTGGGTGATAATAAAAAAGCTTACTCTGAATTGTGAATTGGCATTCCTAAGATGTGTTAATTATCGTTTTGTTGACATTCATTTATTTTTTCACAGTGATCAAATACATTTAGTTCCTGAACAATATCCGCATTCCTGCTTTGGTATATTTTTCGATAGCCTTTACAGGTCTCAGAAGCCACAATTCAACAGCTGCAGTTTGTTCCAGCTACTTTTCTTTAAGTTAGGGTTCCAGCGCCCACTTTCATGAAGAAGCAATTATAAGCCATTGCTTTGTAGAATTTTATTATTGTTTCCTGTCAGCTGTATGAAGAAATGTATGTTTAATTGTTCTGCATATATAGCTAAACCTTTGTAATTTATTCTGGATATAATTTGAGAAAGAAACTAGTGAAATGCTACATTTGGAGCATTGCTTTATATGGGGCTGAAACTTGGACACTTAGGGCAGTAGATCAGAAATATCTGGAAAGTTTCGAAATGTGGTGTTGGAGAAGGAAGGAGAAAATCAGTTGGACCGATTATGTGAGAAATGGAGAAGTGTTATTTAGAGTCAGTGAGCAGAGGAATATCCTACACGAAATAAGAAAACGAAAGGCTAATTGGATTGGTCATATCTTACGCGGTAACTGCCTTCTAAAAGAAGTTATTGAAGGAAAGATAGAGGGGCGGATAGAAGTGACCAGAAGACGAGGAAGAAGACGTATGAAGATGCTGGATGACCTTGGCGACAGAAGAGGATATTTCCATTTGAAGGAGAAAGCTCTAGATCGCATCAAGTGGAGGAACTGTTTTGGAAGAGACTGTGGACCTGTCGTCTTGACAGATTACTGATGAATGAATGAATGAATGTTGCTACTGCCCAGTTGGCAACCTAAATAATTAAAAGTGTCCAACTTGATTGACCATGTTATTATTTACTGCTGTTTATATTCTTATGAATGTTTTTCCTTCCTTGTGTCCTATTCTCTGTTAATTATGTCATTGTGAAGACGGTCTGTACAAGAGTGACCTTAATTAATGCCGCTTTGCTCTTCTGTTTGAATATGTTCACCTGTATTATTTGTTCTGTTTTATATTGTAGCAGCTGTTTAGTAGGCTTGTGCCTCTGTAGTTAGAGCAGTCTGTTCCGCTGCTTGTTTGAAATAGTGGAAATATCACTGCTTCTGCCTAATGATCATGTATGAAACCAGGTTTACAAAAGGGAGTTCTCTTATTTGTACAACTTTGTAGCATTGGCGTCAGGGGATTTGCATTATGTTCAGTTTCAACTGATGTCGTTCTAATTTTTCGTTCACTTCTCCATAATCATTGTTACTATTGTTCCCATTGGTGTGAAGGTGTTTGATGCTGTCGTGCTGTGTCTTCTTCTATTTTATTTAATTCCTTGGTTGAGGCACCGTGCTACAAGCCGGAAGGTAGCAGCCGAACAGAAGTAAACCCTTCACGCGACACGTGTACTGTGTGCATCCAGATGTTTTGAAAGTTCCTAGATGATGCCTCGGATTCCCATGTTTATATCACGCCAATTTGTAATGTCATCTCTACACGGCTCCAAATGCTTCATGTGGAAACAGAAAAGGATCATCTTAATAACGCGTTTTTGATGGCTCTGATGCGCCTGCGTGAGTGTCGCGATGCGGAACTGGCGTGTGAGTTGGGTGGCCAGCCACTTAAGGGGTAGAGTCATGGCATGGCTTCATTCTGCTTCGTCCGCACACCAACGCGTTAGCAATGTCTGCAGGTAGAGTTCCCCTCCAGTAGCGCACCAATCAGTCGCGCTTTTGTGGTAAATGCTACATTTGTGTTCCTTCTTACAGGAAGAGTTTGGAAAAGCGCCTTGATCCTGGCGTTTATTCTTCCCAGCATTGCAGTTCGTGGATTGGGTGAGTGGATTTTACTGATATTTATTAAAGCATCGCATAATATTATGATTCTCTGGGTTATGACACCCTGCAGTCTGGTAGATAGGTACCGACGTTTCGGAAGAACACAGTCTCCTGAAGGTGGAAGAATTATGTTCCTCCGAAACATTGGTACGAGACTACACTGTGTCGTAAACTTAGGGCCGACGTAACGCTGCCCAGGAAGCGACATGGTCCCCCCCCCCAGTCAGTTAAAACCAATCGTCTTTCGCAGAATTTAGTCACAGTATCGTGAAATTCCCACATGCAGACGAATGCCGTAAATTTTATCCTGAATCTTACATTGCTGCATAAGATGTTTAGATTAAAAGGCAAAGCTATCCCTGTAACAGGCCGTGGAGGTCCATAGCGTTGTCAGCCTTACGCGCCGGCCACCCTTTACCCCCCAGGAAGACTCCTGGTACTCATTTCTGTTAGAGACTGATTCGACCCAAGGGTCAACATGCAGCTGGAAGGATTAGGTCAATTTAAAACTCCAGTAACCTCATTGTGACTCGAACCCGCGACCTTCGGCTTGGATCATAGCCCCTCAACAAAAACAGTGTAGGAGGATAATAGTATGGCGTAACTTGTTCCCTTAAATTGCAAGTTCCCAATCTGGTTAGATTTGAGGTTCTCACAGCGGTACTATGAGGGTTGTAATGCCGTGTAGTTCGGAAAGGGTTTTTGTTGGTTTCTTGCTTGTCTTGTTATCTACCATGAAATTGGAGGCTATATGTTCCTCCGAAACGTCGAGCTGAATGCGGCTTTACACCACAGAAGACGGCACTTTTCTGATTTAGTATTTGTATTTCCCTTATCAGTTCATTTTAATTAAAACTTTCCGTCTCTCCGGGCATTCGCGGCTCCCACTTGGGCATGCTACTCATAATGTAGAGTGTTCAGTTTGTTACAAGTGCATTTCATCGAACACTTTTCTTGTACAACAACAAGTATTTCTATTTTATGAGACGAGGCATTTTATGTGCCATGAGGCATTGTTTGTAGAGATCTTTGGGCTTAATTTGAATATACAGAGTTTATTGAACGGGTGCAAGTCAAAATTAAATTCAGTTCACGCCTTTAGTTGGTAAGACCAGGTTTTATTGAAATTAGTCTCCTAGTTTCTGAGATGAAACCTGTGGACGGAGAAGAGAACACCTGAATCCTCATTGTGGGCTTGTATCTGGTGTTTTCGGCTCGAAAGTTGATGCTTATATTAGCCCCTCCATGACCACCTGTCTGTGACAGTTGTAGAACAGACGGACGGCTCTTCATGAATTTTTCTGGAGAGGTATACTTATATTTATCTATAAATTCCAGTTTTGTTTAAAATCGAACAATAACGGGCACTTTATATAAATACCTGCTTGAGTTTCTCCTCGCATCTTGAACGTAAGTTAAGCATACGCATGAAATATTGTCGCATGTCTGCTGAAAGCCAGAATTGTGAAGTCAGAAGAGAGCCATTACTAGGGAACGGCTCTGCAAACACGCCCATTGGTAGGCAGTGGCTCAGCAGCCATACGCATGCAACAATAGAAGAACTGTTGGAAGTGGTGTTTTCTGTGCGGTGACAATATTCATCGGGTGTTTTGTGTTGCTTTACAGCGCCATCAGTATCTGAGATTGTATAGCGTCTAATGGTGGGATGGGTGGTGAATGCTGAGTTGGAAAGGGTTTTGATCGATGTGATCGTGTCCTAATTGTGGTACCATCCCGAGATTTGTGTGGAAGGAATGAGGAAAACCGCGAAAAGCTCAACGAGGACAGCCGCTGTCTCGGCTGAGGTTTGAACCGAGCATCCCCGGGATAAAAGTCCGGGGAATTACTGCTACACCATGTGACCCGTGAAAAATGTCCCGCGCTGAAGTTTTAGGGACGTTGAAACACGTTTGGTACCCAGTGCACCTTCTCAGGAGGGATCGCAGTGCGGTAGTATTGTTGCGCTCTGCCTTCATTGGTAAGCGTGTTTGATTTTCGTACGAAGAGCGCATATTCGGCTGTGCAAGCCCATGGCGTTACGTCAACACCGACGTGCTCTGAACGTTACCATTTCGAATCTCGGCAGTGTTAGACGTTATGCGGACTGACTTCCTCTGCACAGGGGAATGCGACGACAGCCTGCTATCCCACGGTGACAAGTTACGACTACTGCATCTCTCCATATCCTTGTCTATTCTCTGTTCGTGATGCCGACGTTGTACATAACTCCATGGAGCACATTGCTTCTCGAGAAGACAATAGTCGTTCAGTTAGACAAGAAATTATCCACCTTGTATGAACCAGAATGTTCATTATCGTCTTCACAAAAGCCCTTTGCCGGCCCCTGTGCTGAGGGAGACGAATCCACTACATACCCATTCTGGTATAATGCTCCGAGCTACATGTCGGTCTTCCGAATAGTCTCCTGTCAGCAGAATTTCCGACAGAAACTCAGTATCCATTTTTCACCTCTTCCGTGCGCGCTACATACTTCACTCATCCTCTCCAAGATTTGATCATCGTAATAATGTCTGAGAAGCACGCCGTAACGTAGTTGGTTGAGAAACTATGCTACAAGCCTGAAGATCGCGGGTTCGATTCCCGAAGAGGCCATTGCGTTTTTCAATTGGCTTAATCCTTCCAGCCGCCCTATGGCCCAGGGATCGACTCAGTCTCTATCAGAAATTAGTACTGGGAGTCTTCCTAGGGGTAAAGGGTGGCCGGCTCATAAAGCTGACAACCTCACCGCCGTCTGTTAGACGATTGTCTAGAAAATGTGGGAGCCTCGAAGTCTCAGAAACTTATGGGCCTCCACGGCCTAATACAGGGATAGCTTTACCTTTACCTCTCTTTCTTTAATAATCTCTGGCGAAGAGGGCATATCAAGAAGTGCCCATTATGCCTTGTCCTCAAGCCCACCTTTACTTCTTCCCTCTTACGTCCAAATATTCTCATTAGGCCACGAATGACAGCAGGGGGTTGAATCTGACCCCCTAGATCTCTGGAAATAGATGAGAATTAAACAGACGGAAATACACAAGATATCTGTAACAAATTCAACACTTAAAATTGTTGTTCTGTCCTGAATACCCTAAGGCGGTCAGTAAAATAGTCTAGAGCGACATAAGCGGTAATTTGTTAGCACATCTTCTGGCTGCCCTTCTTGGGGACAGTCGTGGTGGTACCCGTGTTCTTCTACACCCCTGGCCCCAACGCTGTTACTTTCTGTTCTTCCTGACGTGTGAGAAACCAGAACAGTGTAGAAGGCTAGATGAATCGCCTGCCGTTTTCGGCGCGTGCTTCCGTATAGAAACCTGCGATAGAATCGATGTTGCACCAAGCCTCTCGTACAATTGTGTGCCGTGGAAGGTTACGATAATGGATCATTAGGGTTGTCCAAACAATCTGAAGCCTCTCGCTCGTTCTGTGTTGCACATGATAGTGGCTGTGCCACAGCCCATGCGGTTAGTCGCCGGCTTCCCACCGCGGCGGCCCGGGTTCGAGCCCAGGTCAGAGCATGTGGGATTTGTGATGGGCAGAGTGGCACTGGGGCACGTTTTCTCCAAGTACTTCGTTTCCCTCTGCCAATTCTCGATATCATTCATCTATAATCCGGGGTTGGTACAATAGGCCAGTTAGTGGCTGACGTGCCAAGTGGACTCAGTCTCACCCCAGCCCCAAAATCTTAAGAAATGAAACTAAACATGACAACAATATATTTCGTAGTTCGATTTGCTGGTGTTATGGATGTGAGTTTAGGTGCATATGGTACCTGCTTTCCTGCGACGACTGGTAGTCTCGGCGTCAAGAAAGGGGACCGATTATAACTCGTACTGCTTGCTGCCAGTACAAGTCTTGTGCTCTTGTAGTGAAATAATGCTGCCTGGAAATTCGGTTTAGCTTCTTGGCTAGCCTGCTCGACTCGTGTATAGATGGTCATATGGTCAGATTCTGGTCGGGTCATATTTGTATTGCAGCCCACTGTAAATATGCTTCAGATTATTTTTATAATTTCATCCTTTTGGAAGAAGTGTTACTGAAGTAGAGAGTTTTTCTGAGTAAAATATGTCGGACGTAAGCTATGTTCGCACCACCGCCATGCTTATTTCCCTCACTTGTAAACAGCATTTCACGTATAATACTCGTATATGATGTGTGTCCGTACGAAATTTCACATTCCTGGCTCCAGTGCTTCATTAGTTATCGCCACCAAACAGGAAACAAAATATAGATGTCATGCAGCCACCGTTTTGTTTTGCATTCGACAGGAAATCACCTAACCATGATACACACACACGCGGAGTGAAACGAAATTCGCGCAAAAGCTCTCCATGGTGTGATTCCTTGTTGAGAAACAAGTCGGAAAGATTGTGCAATATATGTCCCGTGACTTTTTATTTTTTAAGATAAACGCCACCGCTCAGTGACGCAAGCGTTGAAATGATCAAACCACGGGCGCATCATAGTTGCGATAGGTTTTAGGAGCATCTTCCGTTTATTTGAAGGGAGACGGCAGTAGGCCGCACGGCATTCTCATGAACACGCCTCGGTACACTGGCATCGACCGTTGTCACGGTTGCTTGAAAGCTTGCTATGGGAATTTCGGTAGTCCTGAGAGGGATGAAAAACACGCTCCTTCAGATGTCACAGGAAGGAATCAGATCCGGCGACCGATGACGCCATGCAGTCGGCCCTCGACGTCGCGGTCAACCACTGCCAGACATTTTCCTCATAGTGTGTTGGAGATCCGTCTTGCTGAAGCCATAACTTCTGCCTTAGAGCCGAAGGCACATCTTCCAGCAGCCCCGGTAAAACAGTTTCCAGAAAATCAAGCAGCCTGTCAAGTAGCAGAGGGGCCCAAGTCAATGTCCCCGACGATTTCAACCCAAACGCTGAAACCGAAGAGGTGATTGTCGTGGGCGCTGAACACACCCTCACAAGAACCGCATGCTACGTCTTCCCACAGAGCTCATCTGCAGTGTGTTGCATCCTTATAG